AAAAAATTCTTTAATATCTAAGAGTATATATTATTTTATTATTTTTTTTTTTTTACCAATGGGAAATATGGGGGATGGGGGAATAATTACAGCACTGCTGTACTGACAGCTTGAACCATTGACAAAGAAGTTAAGGGTGTTGGTGCACTTCTATCACCGCTAAAACTGCAAGTGCAAGAGTATATATTACTTAATAACTTAAATTATATAATTTAATATAATTTTAACTACAAAACACTTTCCCATTATTAGGATATGAACAAACTTTACATAAAAGGGGGGAAAAAAAACCATTTTATTAGATGCATTACATTACCCCAAAAAAAAAAATCGTGCAAAATTACAATAAACTACTTTACTGTTTTCTTGGATTATTCTCCTGCACAAATTGGTGGTGGGTCTCCCGAGTCCCACAAGATTGCTGGCTTGCTGCAAATGTCCCCTCGTGCAAGTGCAAAGTTAACCTTTCACCAAAAATCTCTAGTTTCCAGCGATTCCTGACTTCTCCTTCTCCGTTGCTCATTCTCCCAGTTCCGTTTCTTCTCCTTCTACCCAAATTCAACAGCTCTCTCCCAATCCCTTTTTCTTACAACGTACGTCCATGAAACCCCAATGCAATCTGGAGTTCTCCTTCTTCTTATGGAGAGAATCGACTATCACATTCAATTATTTAAGGATGAATTGATTGATGCATTACGAGGGTACACCCATTAACCCTTGATCGAGCTTGATTCTTGATTCTGACATGCAAGATTTTTCAAAGTGAGTCATGTAAATAATACCCTAACAAATTTCGCATTGAATGTAGTCCCATTTCATCACATCTGAATGTTTTTTCAATCTCTCAGGCCAACTTTGAATTATGCATCTGCCTAGGACAACAATGCTTGATTTTTCTCAATGGGATGGATGCCTTAATGCCTCAGGTAATATGTGCCAATTACAAGTTATTAGTTTTTATTTGTGTTCTTTCTTGTGTGTCTGTGTGGGTGCAACTCAGTTAGTTAATCAATTGGAAAGAAAATTAACCATTTCTTGAGAATTGAACACCAAAAAACGTGATGCAAATTTAGAGCCATTGTGACATCTAGGTGGGGTGAGAAGTGGGTAGCAAAAGGGGATGGATACCTCATACCTCCTGTTTTTGTGTAACTCATGAATAAAGAAAGCTCTAATTAATTAGGCTTCTCTGCAACCTTTTCGCTTAATTTCCATTTTCAATTAAACTGACTGATTCTGATTCTATCTCTATATCATCATAGGACAAGTAACTAGAAAGGTTTGTGGAGTTGGTTTTCATTTTAGCATCATCTTCTTCAGTTGGATATGGATATATATAGAAGGGCCTAGGAGGCATTTCTAAACTTTCAAGATCTGCTTCAAGCATCTCCACCACTTTGTTCATCCAAGCACGGTCACTTGGTTTCACCTATATACACCACCAAGCCACAATGATCATTTTCTTAGCTATTCTCTTTCCGTCTTCCGTGGCTCCTCTTATTCCCAGCTCCTTTCCTTTATTCAATTGTTGAGAAACCCATGTAGGAAAGTAAATTTGACTTGAATGCCCTACATGTGGGTTTAAATTCCTTCTCCTGCTAGCTGTTTCCATCAACAACATTCCAAAGCTATAGACATCAGCCTTGTGTGAGACACCTCTAATTTTTCTCTAGACCAACTTAGGCGCCATGTATCCTAGTGTTCCTCTTCCTGCAGTTAGGGACATGATGCTATCCTAGTGTTTCTCTAGACCAAAAATGTTAGATTCGCATATCATAGCCTTGGTGTAAATAATCAATCCCATGAGCCACTCCTAAAGAAATCTTGTATTGTCTTTCCCAACCCAAGGTTGTACTTTCTTCCCTAGTAAAAATGTATTTATCAAGAGAACTATTAGGCATGAAGCCATACACAAATGTGGTTTGAGCCCTTTGCACAAAAGCCAATAAGTTTTACCACATTGACATGGTGAAATCTCCCAATTGTTGCTACTTCACTGAAATAATCTTGGATTGTGACTTTGGATTTGCCCAATAACTTGACTGCACCAAGACCACCACTCTTAAGCCTTGCTTTATAAACCTTGCCGAAACCTCCTTCCCCTAGTTTTTCCTTAAAGCCATTTGTCAACTTCTTGATATTTGAGTAAGAATACCTTACTGACATAAGGTTATTGTGACTTTGCAAGAATTCTTCAATAGAATCATACATAGATAAATGCCTTCTCTGCCATTTATATAACAGAAACAGTATGAAGCTTGGAATTGCAGGAGCAGATGCCACCCCATGAAGTACATCTGTGAGTATAAAAAGATATTTATTGATATAATTGGTTATGAAATAAAGTATCCGATAAATATTGCCTGCTTCTCCTAGAGTTCTTAATTTTTTTTTTTTATAATCTCATCAAATGTACTTGAATTTTTCATGCTTCATGATTCAAGACGGTGCAACATGGATAAATGAAAAACAATAGCTCCAGAAGAGAAAGGTTTTAATTACCTAATACAAGTGTTGTGTAGGATAAATAAGTGTAATGCATGGCCAAAACTGCAATAGGTACCATATACCAAAATCAGAGAGAAGCAAGACATTGAATTTGCATACAGTTCATTTTAAAAAAAAGGACCCAAAATTAGCGAGTTACATTTGCAT